GAAGCCCCTAAGGTTCTTTCCAGAGGGAAGCATTCAAATGGGCCAACATTAGCCATTGTTTAACACTAAAATACATAGCAACTTGATGGGGCAAAATTACATCTTATGAAATGAGTGAATCGTCTAATCCAAAAGTTTAAACTATTAAAAAAAAGTAACTTAATTTATTTATTTTAGACTGCAACATATCTTATCATGGCCGAATCCAAATTTTTTTCTTAGCCAAGCATGTAAAGTATTGGTTGATGGTTAGCGGTGAAACTTGAATTCAATACCTTTCTATGCTCTAATATCATGCCAACTCATGTAGTAGGTTAAACTAAGGGGCAGATTCATAGTGTAAGCTATAGGTTTGGCCGAACCCAATAGCTTTGTCCAAAACTCTATATATATGTTAAGAAATTCCCTCAATATGCACATATATTAAATTTCGAACCCATTTATTAGCACTTGAGATCGATGTCCTAGAATCTCGAACCCACAAAGTTCAAATCATAAATTTGCCTCTGCTTAGCCTTGTATCATTTTCCTTAAATTCCCATGCCAACACATTTCCGATTCTATGTCCAAAGAATCCTCCTCCTTTCTTGGCTCATCCTATGCTCTTCTCCACTTCAATACCACAGACTTTGGTTCATCATTTAACATAGAGAAACCCAAATTTGCCTTAAAACACAAAAAAATATACTATTGGAAAGAAATGCGCCTAAATAGAGCGGGATAGACATGAAGGATCATATAGTCGAACCTCAATTAGCTTTGATTTGAGAGGTACTTAATTGATTCTTTTTTGAAATAACGATTATCCAGTTAAACTTGCACGCACCTCGACTACTACACCGAGTACCTATTACCTCCCACCATCACAAGTACCTGGTAACTCTACCTACCATGCTTAAGCAAATGAGAAGAAATTACCTAGTATTTTGTCTCTAATGGGATTTAAACCCTAGTCTCCACGGTTTACCCCCACTTCATCGATCACCAGGCCACACCTCAGCACTTAATTGATTTTTAATTTTTTACAATGGTGGTGTCTGGCCAGCTTACACGCACCTCAACTAATTTCTAGTGGTGTCATTCCAAGGCTTAAACAGATGGAAAGAAATCGCATAGTGTTTTTGTGTCTAGTGGGATTTAAACCCTAGTCTCTAATGATTGTCACTCACTTCATAGACCACTAGGTCTCACCCTGACAGTTAATTACGCGTTATGCATCAAATAGGTGAATACTTGGAGAAATTGCGTATCCACTTCCCCTAGATATACCCCAACTTATAATTCAACTACTACCTCCGTTCTAGTTTGATTCAGCACGGAGTTTAAAGAAAAAAAAAGAGTTTTGAAATTTATGGTCTTAAAAGTTTAAGGGGTAAAAGTTTTGTGTGGCCATACCATTTGTGTGGTTATAAAAGTTTCTCATTAAGGGTAAAATGAGTAAAATGAAGAGTTTAAAGTTGAATTATTTCCAATTGTATAAATGTGTCATTCTTTTTTTAACGGACTAATAAGGAAAGCGTGTCATCTAAATTGAAACAGATGGAGCAATAAATTGGCCCGTGCTTTGCGCGGTTGAACTTGATAATAAGTTACAGATTCTTTTCTTTATGCTTGAACATCAAAACTAAACAGAAAGTAAAGTTTTGCCACTACTAAAAATAACTTCAGCTTTTCTTACAACGGATAATTTTGAGGTACAAATTTATAATTCAATTCAAAGGTATTTCATGAACTTTTCAAAAATGAAGCCAAAAATTCAAACCTAATGTGATCTTGTGAAAAAAGTAGTCATAGTAACGTTATATCACAGTAAATTTCTTCTTTTAATCAGAAGTATTTTTTCTTAAAAAAAATAAAAATCCTGTAGTTTTCATCATTTAGAAATATTAAACTTCACTAAGTAATTAATTTTAGGTGAAATTACTTTTTTTCGCTATTATATTTTCTTATAAATAATATATATATGCGCACGCGCACCATTTTATTATTTAATATATATTTTGTATGACCATAAGTTACAATATAATTGTCTTTAAAAGTTTTAAGAATAAACGAAGAAAAAGGCAAAAATGGAAAGCAAAAAATAAGGAAAGTAATATTTGTTTCCTTCTTTCTCCTCATAACCTCTGCAAATTGCCACCTCTGTTATTTTTACTACATCTTTATTAATATTCTTTTCATTTCTTCTATTGATTCTCGCCTAAAATCAGCAACATCCTCTTTTTACTCCAAATTATCTGCAAAATCCCCATAACTCTATCTATTTTTTATGTTTTTTTTTACCATCCCAATACTTACATAACCCTCCTATAAATTCATCACAAATAGTATTGGAAAGGAGTTATAAAAAAGAGGAGAATCGATATCAAAGAGTCATATTCAGCTAGCAAAGGATAAGGATACATGAGAAAATTAAAAAGTAAACATTTCCCCTCCGGAGACGGGGCTCTCAAGGATAGCATGTAATCTTTGGAAGTCTCCCTCGTAAACTTCTTATGATAAAACATTTTAATAACCGACAAATTTTCTAAGGCAGTGACACACAATTTGAAATCCGCTTGTTTAATCTTCATACAACAAATATTTGATAATTTAGCTCTGCTCTTTATATTTAGCAGTTTTGGATGCAATAACAGTTACTTAGAAACAATGTTTGCTCCAGAAAACTTCATATACAGACCCCATAATTGCAGGCTGTCCAAAGTATAATATCTTCCCTGTTACTATCCAACACAACATACTGCATTTTCAGGAAAAATTCTGCAATTTCTACCATTTCCCAATCAATCACACAAACTTCTTCTAAAATGAAAGTACCTTTACATCTTCCATAAAGCAGTCAGCCATTTCACTCCTCTTCTGTCATCTATTTCATAACAGGCAATCAGCAATTTCAAATGTTTAGCTTCCGCTACCAAAAACAAAAATTACCAAGTATGTGGAGCACTCAGTGCTTTAATAATGATGATTGCTCATAAACATGAATCTTGATCTACAGGCTTACAGGGTAATGCTATGAGTAGACACATCCATTTACACACATTATTTCTACAAAGAAAGAGATTAGACATTGGAATCTCTAAATTTTCCCACCAAATTTTAAAGCTATTTTCCAATCTATTGCTGATGAAAATAAGTAAGTTTCTTATAACTATACCATGACTGCCTCCATTTTTTTGACTATATAAGAATTAAGGCAAGACAAATTAAGCAAGAAAAAAATGATTTCACCAGTAAACAATTATCACATTCAATATAGAAGTTCTGTGAAAACAGAATGCCAAAAACTCATACTGAGCAACATACAACGACACCCAATTGGATTACACAAACATAAAGCCTAAGGAAAAATGTAATTTAGAGCTCATCTTCCATTCTCAAATACTCTCCAATATCAGCCTGATGAAGAACTACAATCCCATTTGGATCCATCTTCCTACAATCTTGTGTACTCTTGGCCGCAACTCCAAATCCCAACGGCACATCCGACATTGAAAACACCACCACCCCATCATGCTCGCTAATACTCTCAGTAATCCTCCCTACCCCACCTTTCAACACATTATTACCATACAAAAAACTCATCTCAGAGGTGGGTTTTAACCAAACTTTGTGCTTCGCGTGACCTGCCAATAGACCCAAACACTGTACAGTAAGGTGAAATTTACCTCCTTTAGTGAATTTGCCTATCTGGGTTCCAAGTGCAATTAAGTTGTCTCGCTTTATATTCGTGGCTCGTTTGACCAGCGATTCTGATACGTAGTAGACTCTGTTTCTTTGGAGACGGAAGCAGTAGCGGCCGGGAGTGTTGTCGGGTCCTTCGTGAGATGGGTTCTCGACTATGTTCTTCAGATTGTTGCCCACGAATTTGTGTAGCTTTTCGAACACTTGTGTCGTTTCTTGCTCGTCCAGGGGTCTCATTGTATTGTTGCTGGCGTTTGATGAACCCTAACACCTAATTCTTTGCTTCTCTTTCCCATCTATAGTGATCTTATTGGGCCTTAAATGAGTAAGACCCAATTCTAGCCCAACATAGATCCTATTTAGCATTCAAGTTTGCTTTTGGGATTTTTTTTCTTATGAAGTGAGATGCTATTTTATTGCTTTCTTAAGTTGTTTAAGCGATAAATTTATAAGATTTTTAGAGAAGTCAATGACCTACTCATTTTTGAATTGGAGGTGAAATTTTTCTTATTGATAGCCTTCGTGCTAATTAAAAATAATTTATTTACTATATAACAGTTGAATTTGTTAAAGAAATAGAAAACTATAATTAAAAAAATTAGATAAAAGGCCCAAAAGATTCCCTTTAATTTCAGGCTTTGAATCAAAATAGTCTTTCAATTTCTCTTTTCCAAATCAAAATAATCCTATTGACGAAAAAAAAAGAGAATAAACAATAGTGAGCATAATTAATCATCTAAATTTGCAAAATTTTGGCCAAGCTTCTCCAACCTTAGAAAGCACTTTTTTTTGAAAAAAAAAATGCTTTTTTCAAAGTTGAATTGTTTGGCCAAATTTTTAGAAAAAGAAAAAAAACATTTTTGAAAAGAAGCAAAAGTAATTTTGGAGAAGCGGAAAAAAATAATTTTTTTCCAAAAACACTTTTTTAAAAAGTACTTGTGAGAAAATACACTTAGAAACAATTTTTAAAAGCTTGGTCAAACATTAATTGCTGCTAGAAGTGTTTTTTAAATTAATTAGTCAAACACAAATTGTTTCTCGTCAAAAGTACTTTTGAGAAAAAACATTCTCAAAATAAGCTGATTTTTGCAGTAGTGCAGTTTCAGTTCAAGGCACCCATTCCAAATAACTCCCTATATTTTGACGAATTTTCAAAGAACTACTTGAATGGGATAATTGTTTACTGGTAGAATGGAACCATTCTTTCTCTTTTCCTTTTATTTCTTGCCTCCTTAACAGTGTGCGCAAGGCAAAATTCAGCAACAAGCCTAAGCTCAAGAAACACTCTTTCTGCAGATAACTGGCAACCAACAATGCATAAAAGCACATGGCTTTACAGAAACTAATGAAAGCATTAACTACACTTACTGCCTTCCATAAGTTCACAGACAATTTTCTGAAGCCATGTTGCTAGATAACCGTATACCCAAAATTATGACTAAGGTGGTGACAACTGATTTGCTTTTACAGAAAAGTAATGAAGCATTAACTACGTTACTGTTTGAACCAAAACAACTACACTTTCTGCCTTCCCTAAGTTTACAGACACTTACTATTACTATATATGCAAAATTATGACTAAGGTGGTAACAACCGATTTGCTTTTCCAAAAGCCGTATTCATTTGGCTCGGAAGGATAATCACCGAAACTGTACCAAAATAGAGATCGGTTCTAATGGCATGTCCTCCTGTTACAAGTGCGTCCTGATCAGTTTTCATCTTCTGAATCAGGAATGACAACAGACTCAGCAGCAGTATTGACAGTAGGTCTTTGCCTCAACCTATTTTTCGCACCTATATGAGTACTTTCTGGAACAGCAAAGCCAGCAACTCCAGCTAGCCGCTTACTGTAGCGACAACTGCTTGGCCTATAGTCCAAGCGACTATTCTCATTCATTGACTGCTTTCTGTTGCCAGCTATGTTAATTTCCTTCATTGAGTCAGTATCATCTTCATCAAGATCAGCTTCATCAACCTCATCACTGGTATCATCAACGTCATCATTGCTTCCTTGAGGCCCATCACTCTCAGTTTCACTGTCTGTGGCATCACTGCTTATGGAGTTAGATGCTGGAGAGGAATCCAGGGAAATGGTTCCAATCCTAGGCGCATGCTCACTGAGTTGAGTTTCATTTGTTGGTTCTTCAATTGCCTTCCGTTTGCTAAACCAGAAATTATTTGCCAGTAAGCCAAGGTTATGATCCCAAATGGATAAAAATAGTTGTCATGAATGGAAGAAAAATTAGCCTTGGGATGTAGATGAAATCATGAAATGATTCAAGTCAAACCTCAAAACAAGCTTTGACATGAAAAACAATTAAAAGAAAAAAAACAAAACAAAATGGTAACTCTGAACCATTACTGCAACTACAGGTGGTTTCATAGTGTTCAAATATGCTTTAGAAGATAGTTTATACACAGATCATGCAAAAGCACCATAAAAGCAAAGCTCAATCTTGTTGACAAGAGTTCATATAAGGGTGGATACCGCCAATTAAGATACAAGCAGTTAAGGGGGGTTACATTAGTAAAGTAGGTTTGCATAGTAGCGGCAAAAGGGAGCATGAAACTAGACATTGATCCTGAGGTGGCTTCAGTAGGAGTTCATCCAATCTTGGGGCAATGCAAATGATCTGATCATAATTAGTGTCGGAATATGTTCCAAAATGACAAGGCATCACATGGTGTAAGGCAACGTGATTAGATTCACATTGCAAGCGGGACAGGCTTGCAGAATTTTTGGAAGTTTCCAACTTAATCACCTGGTTACCTCCATGACCCAATCATTCAGCAGGACCTCATTTTAACAGCTTTGAAGAACTTACCAACTATGATTATAAGATATTTTCAAACTAGAGAGAAAAACAGAGCCTGTGTTGGATGAGTGTAGTTGATTGAGTGACATGGAGAAACTGTGACAATGCTTATGATATCACCCAAGATATGAAGAAACAATGACATACTAATAAGACTTACTTTGTTACTTGTATGGCCTCATTGATTGCTCTATCAAAATCATCTGCATATGAATTTGCACTTGCATAAGTATCCACAGTTTGGAACATTAACAGAAAATCATTTAGACTTATTTACTATCTAATTATGCTGCAAATATTTCCCAAGGTCTCCATGCTTTCCCTATGTGCCATGCTCATACAAAAGTCTCATTGATATCTTCTTACATGGTTTGAAGCTTACATCATACGAAGCTCATAAATAGGCAATCCCATGTACTAAAACCATGCTTTAAACTTACAGAAATAGGATGAACTAATATAGGAACCTCCAATGATAAAGCTGTTTACGTTTTCTCCAAAAGTGTAACTAAAAGTTCCAGAAATAAAATTCCCTAAAATTTCAAATATGTCACAGAAATTCAGGCCCAAGATAAACTTGTCTTGAGGTATGGAATCAATGAGGGAATTAATGATACAATCAGAAAAGATTGATTAACAAAACAAATTCATATATACCGCATCTGTAATTGACTGGCCTACGAATCCTGCAAGAACGAGGAACTGCAAGGTTTCTTAAGCTTTCTACGAGTCTTTGCTGTCGCTTCAGAGCCATATCTTTCTTCTGTAAAAGGAAAACATCTATATGCATCAAGAGCTCATGATGAAAGCAGATATATTTCTGCATAAATTTCCTTGGAATCCTCAGCTTATAGAACCAAAAGATATAAGACAACTCGTATAAACAGTCTGAAAGAAACTAACCCTCTGAATTTTCTGAAGAGCAGGAATAGCATGAGCTTCAACAGCCTTGCCCACATCAGCTTCCCATTTAACTTGACTTGATGAGAACTCTTCCTATCATTGATAGCAATAGGAATGCGACGACTATTGAAAAGTTGAATAGTTTGGAAGGAAAGAGAATTGTTGGCTTACCACAAAATTTTGAAATTCTTCAAACGTAGTAGCAAGTGTCTCCCACTGAGAAGTGATAGCTGATATGCTTTTCTTATTCTTTACCTTTGACATGGATTGAATTTGACAAACTTCCTTGTATAATCTATGCCCAATAGTTTCATTCCCATCATACCTGTCACAAAATGTCGAGCTGTCAAAGGCATACTCGCATAGCTTAATGTTACACATTCAGAACTTACCAGAATGAAACTTCATCTCCATTGCCCCCAAGCTTCTCCTTACGGAAAACAGAAGCATCAGTTTTACTTTTAGTTTCATGGTTAATGTAAGATATGGCGTCATCTTGCTGCAAAGACAAACGATAAATGTGAACATCACTAAAAGCAGCATTCATTACTATGTTAAAGAGAAATCAACAGCATATATGGTTTCATCCAACTTTTGATTGCTATTGCTGCATGTTGATGCAGAAGAGTGAGCACTATAAAAAATCACAGAATTCAAGCAGAGGGAAACACAGATGCACTACATCAGCTCGAATTTCACAAAGTGCTTTAAGAATAAGCAGGCGAACTGCCGGATCGAGCGCCTTGTATGTGGCCATCTCCTCTCTGAAAAATAAAAACAGAAGTTGAATGAGAGACATCTCTCATCAAAGTAAACCTAATCTTCAGAGTAGTTTCATTTCTTGGGAAGGGAAGGAAGACGGAGAGAAATATGGTACCCCTTTTTTGCAGTCAATGGAAAAGTCCCTTCAGCAACCTGCAATGAAATGCCAAAAGGAATGGAATGAAATCTTCACTTCTGAATCAATCACATACCAGTCAAAAGCTAGAATCACCTACCCATGGCCACCACATTTCAAGTTTCTTGCTTAATGCTATCACCCATCGATTCGAATCCTTCAGTAGTTTACTCACAGGAGGTATCCCCTGAAGAAATATGCAAACCATGTTAGAACAAGAAAGCCAGGACAAAAATATAAATAAGTTAGCAAGTTTATAATTTCAGAGGGTCTCTTACAACCGGGAAGGGATGAGAATTTTTGAAATTTGAAAATAGAGTGGGAACTTTCAAAGATAAATTTAGGATTGGGACATAAAACTTACGAGGACTCCCTCTGTCCCAGTTTTCTCGCTCAATTTTGACTTGTCACAAATTTAGCATTTGTTGAGAAAAACGGGTAGTCATAGTTTGACTTTTATAATAGTAAATGAACATAATATAATAGAGGATAAAGATGAGAGATATAAAGTGGGCTTTGAAGCAGTTGAATGTTCGGTTTAAGGAAAATGGACAACAATTTGGGGCAATCGAAATAAAAAAGTAGTACAAACATTTTTAACAGCAAAATTAACTAAGAGTTTATCGCATAGATACTCACAAAATGCACTGCTCACCTTCTTAAGACAACTTATAATTTTTTTACAAGTTATTATGTAGCTTATCTCCTGATAAATGAAATGATTGCTAGCAACTTTTCGTCACCAATCAGCATATGTACAATTGCATGAATTAATCGTATCTTCTGACAAGGCAGAAATGCGATCAACATCATCACTCAGAGCACCCATTTATCATTTATCTTTCAAGAGTCTGTCTATTGTCTATGAAAATCTTATGCCAGCAGGCAAAGTCATAAAATAGGCAGTCTGAACTGCAAACTGATTTGCCTCTTTTTAAGGTCCAGGCTGCCATATGATAGTGTCCCCAAGTCATGCTATTACAATACTGAGTCAGCGACGAAAATGGCTGTAGGAATTCAAGCAGTGTTCATCACATCAAATAAAATTAACAGCTTGGAGTACAAAGTTTAACTTCCATGTCTTTTTTTTAGTAGTGTGTATCCTAAGAAAAAACTTAGCCTCAAAAGTATAGAGCTTGCATTGCACTATAGAAAAAAATGGTTGTCAACCCAGTCATCAAAATAGTTGCACCTCCTAGGGGTGGCGTTCGGTACTTCGGTACGGTATTTAAGAATTTTGGTATAGTATTTCGGTATTCGGTTTATCAATTGTGCATATCAAATACCGTACCAAAGTAGCTCGGTATTTCTTGTTTGGTTCTGTACGGTTTTGGTACCGTACCAAAGTCTTTGTGAACAAAAAAGTGGTGGATTCTAATTCATTAGGAATCACATAAGAATACAAGATTAGTTTTTCTAAATCTACCCTACAAGCAACTGTGGTTTCTAGATATTGCAGCTCGGAGAAGCATTGAGAGAAAGCTAACTGACAAGGTATTTTTCTCCCTTGGCAGAAGCTCTAACAACGGTTTCAACAACAACGCTCGTTAAATATAATGGTGACAATAAGTGTTTAATTTTGATTAACATAAAAGATCACTATTTTTGTTATTTTCTCTAACCAAATAATCCAAATTCAAGAAGACTCACGCAACTTCCAAGGGATTTTTGCGAATAGATCATCAATATTGGTCCAGGTGCATACTGTTTCAATCCCTAGCCATCATAGCAATTAGAATCCTTTGGAATAAATCAATTCTAAGGACAGTTATCCTCAGCCCACCAATCAATAATAGGCTTCGGATTTGAAAATGTGGAGGAATTCATCAAGCTAATAGCATCGGCCTCTATTCTACCTGACTTGCATATTTCAATATTTTGGTATACCGAAGTATCGAAAGTTCAATACCAAGAATCGTACCGAAGTACCGAGCTTTTGAAAAATCTATATTGAATTAATACCGAACAACCGATACCAACATACCGAATTAATTCGGTCCGGTCCGGCTTTCGCTTTTTCGGATTTTATGCCCACCCCTACCCAACATGCATGACACTTTATACAAACCCATCCAGTGAAGAGAGCAAAATGCATTTTTCCTTTGTAATATCTCAAGGGACAAGATTACTTGCTCCAACTTTTACTATTTTTTTCAATTCCATGACAAGTAAATCTATCAAGTTGGTCAAAAAACAAGTACAGTAAACCGATTTTTTATCACAGCTCCAGGAACAAGATCATTGCTTGCAATTTTTATCAAATATCAGATTATTTTTTCTTTTTTTTTAAACAGACAAATTATCAAGATGATCAGAAATGCATGCATGGAGAAGAAAATATAAAGATCTACGCTGAATGCACATAGCATCAAGAGACCCTAGAAAATATAACCACCATCATAACTCAGTTTCATGGCTATTATAAGCTTAACATATGAACATTTACAAAACTTAAAAGAATTTTGTTGGTTGTTGGTTGCAGCTAAAATTTATAGAAAGCAACAAAATTAACTAAGAATCATAAGGTAGTCAACATGGGAAGCAACCTGAAAGAAAAGAAAGAGTATAGTTTATCTTAGCACGTCCAAGTTAATGCCTGTAGTTGAACTTCAGATCCAGCAGCAATACTTTCCTCTGACGTACATGGACAACTTTACAATTCTAACTACTCACTTCTATCACAGTTAAACTCACAGCTTTGTCATTCTCTCATTTTTATTTTATCAAAAATTATTGTTGTGTACCAGCATTGAGAAGGTGCTGGTGGTGCGTTTACATAAAAATTATTGTTGTGCACCAGCATTGAGAAAGTGCTGGTGGTGCGTTTACATCTTAGGATTTACCTCACAAGAACAATAGTGCGTTGAGGAAATCAAGCATGGCATCTACAAGCCATATTGCACCAAAGGGCAAAAAGATAACAACCTTTGCTTAAGGCTAATTACATTTTCATATTTGCCATAAAAGATTTTATGGTTCCTTTCTTTCCAAATCGTCTATAAAATGCCTGCTGGAATGGTGTACCGGATATGGGAAGTAACCTTGTCTAGTTTTTTTCTGTGCCGGGCTGCTCATGAATTCTGAAGTTATTTTTGGCATGGATATTCAGAATCTTGAGGTTAGTGTAAGAAAAGACAGTTGACATCCTCTATGTGCATTCTCTCCTTCAAAGCCACCTTGAAGTAGTATTACAGAACTAAAGGTACTACTAGATCAAAAAGATGGTGGAATTTAAAGTGCAAACACATAGCTGTATACACACAAATAGTAATAAAGATAACGTAGGAACCAAACCTTCAGAAGCATGATATGCAGCTGAGCAAGAGTATCATTTGGCTCAATGAGGGCTGTTTCTATCTCCTCAGCTGAAATTTTCAATTTGATTTCGAGCACCGGCTCAAAAACCTATCAACGTTTAAAAAGAACTTCAAGTACCTTCAAACTAAACATTCAACACATTTATATGATGTACACAGGTATAAATAGCAGAGTGCCCTTAGAGTACATGTACAAGTATCAAAAGGAAAAAGGCAAGCTCGTATAACCCAGTTATGCAAATTTCAAATGCACATATGCAATTTTACACTCAAAACAAAACTATATCCAGTGTCAGGTCAACATTCAACAGTCATTGTGATCTTACATAGCAATAATAAATAATTTCATTAATTGTTAGTTGCAGGTCAAAACCTTCAAGTACCTTCAAAATGTACATTCACTGTTTATACAAGTATACGTTTAAAAATTGCAGTAATCCCAACAGAGTTTTAAGTTTTGTCCATTGTCAATGTATAGAGAATGAGTAGAGCTTAAATGAAGAAGTGAAGATTCATATAGCCGACTCCAACTTGTTTGGAACTAAGGCGTAGCTGTAGTTGTTGTTGCACTGTCAGTGTATAATTTTTATATACTATCAGGCCAAGTTAGCGCAACAAGTAAATCTTTATAGCAAGCTTGATATGGTTAACCTGGAAAATAAAGATATAACCTACTATATCCACTTAAATTGAAATGATGGCGTAAAATTCTTTACATTATAAGTGTGTATAACTTAAAATCTATCCCAAATATTATGAACAGAGTTACCCAGCACCTGTGATGGTGGGAAGTAGCAGTTAGCAGTGAGATTAGTCGAGGTGGGTGCATGATGGCCGGAATACTACGGTTATCAAAAAAATATCATCCCAACATTGTACAATACAAAGGAAACAAACGATTATACTACTCATTTAGCAGGCCATACAACCATCATAACAACACATCACCATTGTCAGGCCCATATGAGTACATATGGATTGAAGCACCCACACCCAGAAACTCAAAACTTATTAACCCACAAAAATATATCCACATTCCACAAAACCCTTAAATACCTTAAACATATACGTGTATAAATGTACATGTACAAGTACGAAAAGAAAACGAACCGAGTGACATCTTAGCCACATTTAACCTTGCGTGTAACATGTACAATTCATCCACGTTTATTTAGGTGGATATATAAAATTGTTTAGTGTATATAAGCAAGCAAATAAGTCAAATATGCAATTTCTGGAAGAACAAAAATATTAACTTTTGAAAATGCTAAAATCTTACGTTGAGAAAGTTTAAAACAGAGGCTAACTCCCACCGTTGACGGAGCTTACGACGTACGAGCTCCATTTCCGACGTCAACTCCGGCGCTGAAGCTACTATTTCCATGTCGACGTCGTTTTCTCCTTCGTCGTAAACCGCTGGTCGCCGATAAGTTGATGAGGAGAATCGGATTTTGAGAGAAAATTGTTATTGCAGTGTGAAAAATGTTGTTTTGAGGGCTTTAACTTTCCCGCCTAATTGCTTTACCTTAGGGTAAAATATTTACCCCTAAAATAGACATGACAGACGGGCTAGATCCAAGTTCGGACCCGATTTCAGGCTCAGGTGCCGAACTTTTCAGTTTCCTTAGCCATTTGACTGAGCTTTCAAAATTTTCTTTATTTTGAAAAATATATTTGTCAAAAATATATTGGAAACACCATTGTAAAGGAAGGGGGGGGTTGATTTTTACTGTGAAAGACTTCCACTAATCAGTAGTATATCGAGCATTTTTTTTGTAACGCATAACAATCTATCTATTTATCTATCTATCTCTATATATATATATATTAAAAATACGAATATCCTTAGCGAAATGTTGTTCAACTTTTTTACCCTTTTAAAATAGAGTTTATATCAGATAAAATAGTCATTTGATTATTTACCGAATATATTTAAGATCCATCATCTAAAATTTTGCATATTGATCCTTCCTTATTTAAAATATTACAACATATAAGAAGTCCTAATATTTAGGACTTTTAAAGCAATTAAAATTATAACTAATACAAATATTTTCCAAACATGAACTATGTAACACGTAGACATAAAAATATAAAGTTTACATGGAAACATTACATTATCAATATGGTGGTAATATTAGAGCATCTTTTATGAGCTATATTTAAATATTCAAGTTTATGTTACATTCAATTGGATAATATGTATGACTGGTTTTTTATTTGGTTGAGTATTTAAATGATTGGTTCATAGGTAAAATACTGTAACGATCCGACCGGTCGTTTGGAGCATTTGCACTTCGCTCGGTAGTTTACGGGCATGAGTAGCTCTGTATGATGTATTATGATTTATGTGAATCGGCGGTTTTGGTTGTCAGGTTATTCGGAATCGGTTTGGAAGAATGAATTTCATTTTTGAAGTTTTAAGTTGAAAGAGTTGACCAAGTTTGGCTTTTGTGAATTTGCCCCCGGAACGGAGTTTTGATTGTTCCGTTAGCTCCGTTGGGTGATTTTAGACTTAAGAGCGCGTCTGGATTGTAATTTAGAGGTATGTGGTTGAATTTGGCTCGAAATGACGAAAGTTGAAATTTTGAAAAGTTTGACCGGGAGTGAAATTTTTGACATTGGGGTCGGATTCCGATTCCATAAGTTGGAGCAGGTCCGTAATGTCAAATGTGACTTGTGTGCGAAATTTGAGGTCAATCGGACGTGATTTGATAGGTTTCGGAATCGGTTGTGGAAGTTTGAAGTTTCAAAGTTCATAGATTTTGATTTGAGGTGTGGTTCGTCATTTTGATGTTGTTATGTGTGATTTGAGGCCTCGAGTAGGTCCGTATAATGTTATGGGACTTGTTGGTACATTTGGACAGGGTCCCGAGGGGCTCGGGCGTGTTTCGGTTTGATTTCGGATCATTTTCTTCAATGTTGCCATTGTTAGTTCTGGTGTGACCGCACCTGCGGCTGGTTTGCGCAGGTGCGATGGTCGCAGAAGCGACGAAGGGGTCGCAAGAGCAGAAATATTGCTGGGAGCAGGGTTTCGCATAAGCGGAGATTGCTTCGCATCTGCGAAGGCACAGATGCGGTGAGTTGAGCGCAGAAGCGGTTGGCAACGCAGAAGCGATATTTGGGCGCGCACCTGCGAGTGCGTAGATGCGGGTATTTTACCGCACGTGTAAAGGCAGGCCTCCAGTGCTTCTCTACAGAAGCGTGATTTTTGGTCGCAAAAGCGATGACGCAGAAACGGCTAATGTGTCGCGCGTGCGAAAGTGCTCGGCAGAATGTTAAATACAAGGGTTCGCGATTTTGGCTTCATTTTAACATTTCCAAGCTCGGATTGAGGTAATTTTTGAAGCAAATGTCACCATATGAATTGGTGTAAGTGTTCTCTACTCTATTTTGGTTATATTTCATGAATCTATCTTCATTTTTGGTAATTTGATTGGGAATTTTAAAGAGGAAATTGGAGGTTTTGGCCTAAAGTTTCATAATATAAATTTTGAGTTTTGAACATCGATTCGAAGTAGTATTTGAGTGAACTAGTATGGTTGGACTCATAATTGAATGGTTTGTCGGATTTTGTGAGTTTTGTCGGGTTCCGAAGTGCGGGCCTATGTTGGACGTTTTGGCCGATTTTAGGCTTTTGATTAAAGATTCGACCTTTTTCATTTGGAATTGTTTCCTTGGGCTTTATTTGATGTATTTGAGTTGTTTTTGGATAGTTTTAAGCCGTTCGGAGGTCGCTACGTGCGTGATGGCATCTTTGGAGTATCGCTTGGCTTGCTCGGCATTGGTATTGGCTCGTTCGAGGTAAGTAACCATTCTAAACTTAGTGCTGAGGGTATGAAACCTCGTAATATATGTTATGTGATCGGTATTGAGGCGACGCACATGCTAGGTGACGGGCGTGTGGGCGTGCACCATGTGAATTGGGACTCTGCTGCTTCTATGGCACTCTATAATGGTCCTACTTTGTTGATATCCGTGTTTCCACCGTGTGATAAAGTAGTTAAGCTGTCAACCATGCTAGATATCATATTTAGGCATTATGCCGACATGTTTGGACCCATAGTGGTCGTTTCTTACTGTCATCTCACTGATTTCATTGATATTTCGTACTCAGTCATAACCATGCATTCATACCATATCTCAGTCTCAGTTATTATTTATTGATACATCATATCATTATTGTCGGGCTAGTTTCATGACATTGTGAGCCTGTGAGTGAGACTGAAGAGATTGATGACTGAGTGAGGCCGAGGGCCTGAGTGAGAGTGATATTTTGGGATCGGGCTGCATGTCGTAGCATATTATATTGATTATATATATTATGGGATCGGGTTGCACGCCGCAGCGATATATTGATTATATTTTTATGGGATCGGGCTGCACGTCGCAGCGATATAGCACTTGGGCTGAAAGGAGCCCCTCCGGAGTCTGTACCACCCCGAGTGAGTGCAGTCGACTATAAATATATGGATCGGGTTGCATGCCGCAACGGGTATTATACAGCGCTGAGTGATTGAGTATGCTGAGCATTGAGCATAATGAGAGAGGATGCGAGACAGTGAGGTTGAGTACTCTGAGAGTGTGAGTACATGATTCATCTCTGAGATACATGGCATTGGCATGCACACATGACATACAGGCATAGAGATGCATTTTTTCCTCATGTTGTACGGTATCATGTCATTCATGATATTTTTACACACAATGATATGTGGGCATAGAGAGGTATTTCACACTTGCTATCTGGAAAGTAAATGAAATATCTTATTTATTGTGTAAAGGATATTTGGAAAAATTACGGTTTTCAAACTTACTCGTATTTTTGGTATTTTCGGTAAAAGATTTGGGTTTTCACTAAGATACTTCAAAAACATGACTATTTTCTGGATCTGTGAACGAGCTGAGCATTTTACTTCTGAGATATATCTTTTATTACTTGTATTATACTGTTATGAACTATTGTGGGATATTAATATTGGACCCGACCTTGCGTTAGCTCGTCACTACTTTCAACCTAAGGTTAGGTTTGTTACTTACTGAGTACATGGGGTTGGTTGTACTCATACTACACTTATGCACCTTGCGTGCAGATATTGGCTGTTGACGTTGTTGTGTTCGTTGGGAGTTGGATCTGAAGATGTACATGTGTCCCGGTTGTAGCTGCCTCTTGTTCGTGGTAGCCTTAGATCTATAAACCCCTGTTTATGTACTTTTCAAACATACTATGTATTTATTTCATTTCAGCTTTGTAAACTCCATTCTTAGAAGCTCATGATTTGTACTACCAATCCTTGGAAAATGTATAAAATTCAGAAAATTACTATCGTTTATTTGTCTTGTTAATATCATTGGAATTGGATAGTTACTAGTTGGCTTACCTAGCGGGTTGGGTTAGGTGCCATCACGACTAGTGGATTTGGGGTCGTGACAAATTGGTATCGGAGCTCTAGGTTCATAGGTTCTACAAGTCGTGAGCAAGTGTCTAGTAGAGTTTTGCAGATCGGTATGATGGCGTCCATACCTATCTTTGAGAGGCTACATGACATTTTGGATATATTTTCCATCTTTCTTTCCTTATCGTGCGGCATTGATTCAGCTTGAAGCGTAACCCTTTGAATTCTTTCCATACATTTGTATGCGCACATGAGCCCTCGGTATCAGTTGTGCAACGACGACTTGTGATTCCATGGTTGAGGTGAAAGATGTGATTTTGGCATGCTGGCGATGGGCCAGTCTGGAGGACTTGAGGCCAGGTTTTGACGGTAGCCTGAGCACTGAGATTTCGATTGAGTGAGCACGTGCTTTTGGGACTTATATGTCCGGTGGTGTTCCTGTTAGTGGAATTTGTGATTGGATGAATATGTGGTGAGTATGATGTGACTATGTGGTGGAATTTACTTGAGATGTAGCAAGAACTATTGGGTGTTTGATTTCTGTCTTGATTTGGCGTATGGCCTCAAGTTATGGGTGTGTTGAAGGACCTCTCATGTTGTTTAGTTGTGGAGTGCAGTAGATTTCATGCCGTGTTATGAGTTCAAACTCAGGAAGATTAAGTGATTGCGTAATAGTTATGACTATGGAAGAGTATAGAGAGATGTCAGCTTGAGGCAAAGCTGGTAGGTTACCTCTGTTAGGTGTCCTGAGGTTGTGCGGTCCCTATGTTGTTTTTGTAGAAAGTTCTCATTTACCAACGAATTATATGTGTTGCAATTTGAGTTTGGACCGCTTGTGGAAGTTGGGTTAACCATCACGAGGGTGAATGCGAGATTTGGAGATGATTTGAGGTACTAGATGGTTCGTGTTGCATGAGCTGATGAATGATTTAGTCGAATCTCACCGCGGTATTTTGGCAGTAATAGAGTATGGCCATTGTGAGTTATTATGTGTTTTGATCTATGACTTTGAGCCAAGTGGGGGAGTCTGCTATCGACGAGTTGATTGCACGATTATGCGTTGTATTGGTTTCGGTTTGAGGTATACTGGTGAATCAGTTATGACTGCAGGGGTTGAGATTGAGGATCGCTCGAGTAAGGGAATGTCTGGATACGGGTTGTATTACACTCTACAGGTATATGGGAGTCATGGAATGATTGAGTGGTTAGTCGTGAAGGATGTAGTGTGCATGGAGTAGGAATTGCTCAGTTGC